CTATGCAAAAACTTCAATTTCTACTTAAAAGTTAAATTATTTTCACAAACCCTTTTTTATATTTGTGTACTTGAATCTAATCACTTGCGGAGTTTTAGTTGAAAGAATTTAGCATTAAAGATTAAAAATATTGAAGAAAGAAATAAATTATGAAAATTATCTTTAGTTTGCAGCTTGCTTTACAAAGACTTAGAAGTCTCTTTCTTGTATAATGTTCTTATAAAGTTCAATCTTGTATAACATTCTTATACAATTCAATCTTTCAAAAGCATGGGTAGGTCTTTTCATGTATAGTTACAATCTTAACATTCTAAATGTAGTGATTTATAGATAGAATCAGTGGAGTCACTGGTTCATACTTCAGAATTCTGAGAGATCCTTAATATTAATGAGTCAACACCTGAGGAGGTACTTTCATTTGATCAATACAGGAAATGTTGCTGCTCAAATACCTTAACAGTTATCACAGTAGATTAAAAGCTTGAATATTCCTTTGAAACAACATAACTAAGGGTAGAAAAAAACCCTCAATGCTGAATAAATTCAGTTCTTATACATTTACATATTGCCTTAAAGGCATTTTACATTATAATCCCAAACCAGACATGCCCCAGAGTTCCATTCATAAAACTAAGCAAATACCATTTATAGGACCTAGTTCTTACTTGATAGAAGATTAGTTATAAATCTGGAAAGGTTTTCATCAAGTTGTGTATTAATTAATGATAAGATTTTAGGCAGCAGAATTTTGCACAAGGTGGTAGGATTATTGAGTGCAAAAGACCAAGAAAATATTTTAAGGGACAGCAAGCATTCTAACAGGGATAAAGTTGTTGGAAGAATTGTTTTGTGGAGATACGCAGTGTGAAACAGGACTGAAAATAGGCAAGATTCAGCTAGATTACTGAGAATTTTATATATCAGCCTATGGTATTTGGACTATGGGCAAAGGAACTAGTGGCACTGGAATTAAGAAGGTAGGCCATAGATCCAATTTCATGAATGTGAAAATTAAGGCATAGAATGATCACACAGCTTGCCCATCAGCTAGTTTAGTTACTTACTGGCTGCTGGGCAAGGTGTGTAATCACTCTATGCCTTAATTTCTCCAACTTCAAAATAAAATAAATAATATACGCACACACACTGTCATTCTGAGTTGTTTGAACAATCGGATTGAATGTGCTAACACACGGTGAATGTTTAGGTTAATGCCAGGAATATACTGAGACTTAACATTAACATTCTTATTATTCTTAAAAATAGTTCCCATTATCTGAGTTGAGTTTATTATGGATAGATTAAAATGAAATGGAAGATAATGGCAACAGAAAAATAGGTTAGAAGACAATTGCAAAAGGGGCAAGGTAAAATGAAAAGGTGGGCTTTAGATTAAGATAGTTATGAGTTCTAATGTCAATATTATCTATAGACTTAGAGCCTTGGGCCAATCACTTAACATTTTGAATCAAATACTATTTTCTTTTGATTATAAAAAGGAATAATAACATCAGTGATTTAAGGAGATTGGGTATTAAAGTATTAGCTGTGTGTGTTTCAAAAGCAGTAGCTGCTCAAATTGTAATTAAAAAAATTCATATTATTGTTATTAATACTAGAATCTTAGTAAAGGATAACAAAGGTTTGATTATGAAAGTAGAGGAGAAGAAATGGATATGTTTATGGAGGTAAAATTTTGATAATTAATGACATCTAGACTAGGGAGTGATGAATCTATTAAAAAATGATTCTTGATTATTTTTAGTAACATAGATGATGATAATTTTGTTATTTTTGGTATTGCCTTATTTACGATGGTGACTATACCTTTTGTTTTCCTTTAAAGGGAATCTGGCAAGCTTACAAGGTAGCTTGGTCCACTTAAGTCCACACTAAGAATCTATTGCATGTGAGGTTGAATCTGCTTCTTGCCCCACCCACAAATAAGTTCCTTTATCTCAATGAAGACTTGCTGAATAATTGCCATAGCCCATATTTATCTCTCCCACATCTTATCAGTATCAGTTACATTTTATTATATATTGTTCTTTGTCATTTGTTTTGTTTTGCCTTCTCTTTAATACTATAGTGGGTATGAGATAATTTTTATATTTCCTTCATTCTCCCATCATACTCACACCATCTAATTGACATTGTGAACTTTATATGGCATGGCATCCTTACCTACCAGAGTATCCCCAAACATAGGATAATGATTTTCAATTCAGTAGATCTGTGTAGATGTGTGTACAGGTGGCATGGTTGGTTCTAGGGTACTGACCCTTCAGTGATAAAGCTCAGCTCCTCTCCTGTTGGGGCCTAGAAGCATCTGATCACCTCTTAGTAATGGAGGAAGCTTCACTTTGGTTTAGTTTGGTTCTTATTACTGCTAGTAATCTTGGCTTATGTGATGACTGCCACTTAGTTAGTATATGTGATTTTCTTGATGTTTATAGTATTTCCTTTCCATCTTGGCCTCTTCTGTTCTTTAGAGAAGGGCAGCCATATCATCATTTAGCCTCACCTCTATTCAATGCATTTTCTTAGTTGTGTATAAATTTACTTGGCCTGTCAACCTTCTGGGCAGCCCAACAACTTCTTCCACTTCTCTAACTTTTTTGTGATATAGAATAACTAAAGTCTTTGAGTGTTCCCCCATCATGTTATCCATAGGCATGCTATATAATAAGCCTTTCCTTCTCTGCTGTCAAGGGATACTCTAGTAGGCGTGCAGCTTGCCAGAAACAATAAACAAAAGCAGATCTAGTCTCTATGTTCATATTTGGCCCAATGTCAAGGGACATATGCCAAGCTCTCATAAAATGTGCTCATCATAAAAATTCCACAGTTATACTAGCATTCAATCTGGAGTCAGGGTAATAGTTTTATTCTATTTCTGATTCCATTCTCTGCAAACCTTTTGAGTTTACCTGTATAACTTGTCTTTGGGAGAAAGAGGTGATCTTACCTTTTTTTTCTCACTGGTAGGGAAAAGTTTTTCACAGAGAATATTATACTTTCATAAAGGCCAAGGACATCTAACTCTGAGCCACTAGGCCCTGGGTCCCCCCTTTAGTCCTGTTACTAGGCTACAGGTTGTCCTACTATCTTTTTGTAAGATCCATGTGAAACGTCAGGGCCAACCTGTTGGTGGCTCTTTTTCAAATGTTCAGTGCTCAATATTTCTTTTCCTTCATCTTTGAACTGGATACTATTCTGGGACAACAGAAAAAGTTTCACCTCTAACACTGTGTCATACAAGTATATAGTAATAATAGTAGTAATAAAAATAAAATAATAATAATATTAGGCCAGCATTAGCACAGAAATCTAGGAATAATCTGAATAAATGAATTCATTTCAATTCAATTCAGTAATTATTTAAAGAATTTTTGCAGTTTTTAAAGATTTTAAAAAAGATAAGGAGTTTAGAGTAAAACTGAGGTGCCTCATATATTTCCTCAGCAGCCCGACCCTCTGGTTAAAAGTAATGATTATCATACTGAAACTGAGTGAAAGATAAATTGTTTCATTAATTCCGTACTAGGTCAGTGTGACACTGTTCACTTAGGCTTCTAGGAAAGCTTGCAAGACTTATTTTTATATAAACACATTTAAAATCTGTGGATCTTACTATAAGATAATCTAATGTTATCTTTTCCCTTACATAAGCAAAAGTAAAAAAAAGAAATCAGGAAACACTTTCTCTTTCTCACTTTAGATAAATAGGCTCCTATTTTTCCTGTTTTCAGTATAATTTCTAGTGTACTACTTTTGCTCTAAGCCGTAAGAGTCACGTATCTATAGAACTTTCATTTGTATGAAACATTATCAGAGATGATGCACTCTCAGAGAGGGGTTCAGTAAAATTAAAATATGTAGAAAGTTTTCACACAAAATACTCATATCAGGGTAACATATGAAAATATATAAATGGGACACTACTCAGTGTGTATTCTCATGAAAGTTGAAAATTCTGAAATTATAATAGACTAACTCTGAAATTGTTTTAGCTACGATCTAGCCAATTTTTAATATTACCATATTCATTGTGAAAATTATAAACAATTTTCTGCACTGATGAAAACATATAGTCTCTGAATGCATTTTACTTCACCATATTATTAAAAAGTAGACCTTGATAAAAGTTCTCTGCTTTGCATTTCAAGTCTTTCTCCATTTAGCAGCTTCCTTGCAACCGTAAAAAATACATAGGAAGAGTGAGAGAAAAAATAATTTTAAGGAAAGATAGGTAGCTTATGGTCACCAAAATATTGTGAGAACTCCTCCAATGACAATCCATTCCATTCTAGAACCTTGTCAAAACTTCCAGATTCAGTGACAGACTTATATTCAAAATGGCTTTGAAAACAGTCTTAAGAAATGCTCCTGAGACATATGAAAATGTCTGTATTTACAATGGAACATCTAAAACCTGCCAAATTTGTAGATTTGAAACCACTTCCAATAAGGATTAAAAGGCCCTCTTCCTAGCTGAAATAGGACTATCAATACATGACTTGTCTGCTCAAGAGAAATAGTGGGTTCTGTCTCAGATGTCGCAATTTAGTGTAAAAACACTTTCATGATAACCGGGTTCACAGGGTGACAAAACTACAAAGATGACAGTTTACTCTTCTAAGATCTCTGATCATTGATAACTATTAAATAAGAAAAACATCTGAAATGCCAGATTATCAGCTGGTTGGAGCACTCAGTATTGAGCTGTGCTGAGATACTACTGATAAAATTTTTTCCTATATGTTATGCAGAAACACATTCTCCTCTAGGCGGGGTAAATGAATTGGAAAATCTTTGAATTTAAGATGTATATATTTTTTCTCAATAGTCGCACAACATATTTAAATGTTAATAAATGATACACTGTAAAGAGCTCAAAATAATTTTTTCCCTCAGAGTGATGTCTGACTGCTGAGAATTTTAAGCAGCTTTTAATTATCAGTTTCTTGAATTCTAACAACAATTTTAAATATACGTACAAGAATGATTAGACATGCTGGTCCTATAAAACTCCAAATAAAGTTGTTTTCTGTGCTAAGCCAACATCTGAAAAGTAAATAATAGATAAACATCTATAAATGTGTTTGTATGTACTTCAACAAAGCAGAATTTACAGTGATATACAAAGTATCTTCAGAATTGCATTTCAAATACTTTAAGATAATTTTAACTTACACTTTGGTGGTGCCATAATATCTATAACCTAAGGATGCTGAAAATCCAACTACTACAGCTGGGCTGAGATAGCCAAAGATATAAAAATTCTTGTGCAAAAATCCCTTTTTGTAGATAACCCCTACAACAATAAGATAAAGGTGGATGCCTTCAATGCACATCCATGCAAAGGCAGCTAAAAAGAAGTAATGCAGCAGACCAGCAATGATTGAACAGAAGAGCTAGAAATAAAAAAAAGAAAAAAAAAAAAGAAATCATGAGAAATGCTTGCTTTAACATTATCATAACATAAAATCTTGACTCTCTTTGTACATGATGCCACTTTATATAATGCTTGATCACATTAAAATATTCCTGTCATGTCAGTTTTTTAAAGCTGATTTAAAAGAATTGTGCTTCATCAATGTAAAACATTCACCAATCCTGTGATAGAACTAAGTTATTTTTTCTGTCCAGAGAGATACACTTTTTATACAACTATATTGTGTGATAAGTTGAGGATTTATGTGTAAACCATATCTTAGTATGTTATAATTTAAGTTGATTTCTGTTTTAGAAATGCCTTCACACTCTTTTGTTTTATTCATGCTTAAAGAAATAAAAGTATTGCTAATACTATGCCCAAACAAAACAATATGTTCATTAAGTATCAAACACTAAATTAATAAAAGACAAATGATACATTTAACAAAATATCCATTGAAGAATCATTTTAGCTAAATACTATCTATTAGTATTTACTTTATACCTATAACTGGAGTTAGGCTCATAAGAAATAACAGAAAAAGAATTAGTTATACACTTCTGTATTAATAGCACTAACATGATCTATTGTTGAAAAGATAACATAATACATACTTACATATATATTGTGCTTATTAAAATAAAGTATAATTCAAACATAATGAGATTACATACTAAAATATATTAGAGAGTGCTATAAAAGGTTGGAAATAGAGAGTTCACTAGTGATTAAATTTAGGGCATCATTAAGTTTTTGAAATATGGCTTGAAAGTGGGAAGAACTTGCTAAGTGAAATAGAATTGATCATGAATAGTATAATGAATATTTTTGCAGTGAGAATGAAGATGAGATGAAACTGAAGGAGGAAATAAGCACTGGAGGATAAGAGGAAATATACAAAATTGAAAGATTTTCTGAATACCACTGAGAAAAAACAAACAGGTATGTCTAGTGTATACTGTTTAAAATGGATGCTTTGTGACATTTGCTTCAGAAGAAAACCTCGATACCTGAAAGTTATCAGTACTTGGAAGCATAACAGTGAAAATATGGAGGCAATTTAAAATTCTTTGGCTATGAGAATGCTCTTCTCCAGTTTCCAACAGCAGGAAAGTTGGCTGAGGGCTCCAGATGCTAGACAAGGAAAGCCATGGCTGTGTTTACCAGGCTGCTACCACCCAGTGACTGAGAACAGTAGGCTTACTAAGACATTCCTGTTCTTGAGAGGACAGAAGATTCCTCTGCCATGTGACACTTTGGCTCAAAGTCTTTTTAAAGGACTCCTGGACAACCATGCTGAACTTTAGAACTGCACTGCTATGTAAAATGCTTCGATCCACTTGTCCTTTTCTTTCTCCTCTCCTTCAATTGAGGTCAGACCTACTTCTTGGTCTGATGACTCTCCAAGTCTCTCTTTTCCCATTTTCTTTCACAGTCATTTTGCCTGATATTGTATTAAATGTTTAATTCCGTTTTAGTATCTACTTCTTAGATGAATACAATATGGAAACTATTTGGTAAGGCCCTTGATCAATAATGGTGGAAAATCAGTAGTTAGGAAAGTTACTAGGTAGAACCAGTTTATCACATTTCGACCTATGAACCTTAGATGCTTTTATGTCCAGTCTCTGTGTTAAAATAAACTTTATTTATAATTTTTTCTTTGCTCTCTGTTTTTGTTTAATGGCCTTGTAAAAACAAACAAAACAAACAAAACAAAACAAAACAAAACAAAGACAGTTATTTCTTCAGTTTGTTGCAAGGTTTTCATTTGTCCCAATGGTTCATTATAATAAGGGACACTGTGGTTAAGGGGATTGATAAGCAGGTTTCTTAGATATGCTAACATTATTAAACTTAGGAAAGACTTAAGAACAAAGTATATCGTTTTTGCCCCATTAAACCCTTAATTATAATTCATGTTTCTGTGGCATATAAATTTAGGAAAATACACAAGTAGAAAATAAAAATATAGAGTAAGAGAGGTCTACATACCTTATTAGAATTTGTATTAATTCCAATAAGAAAAACAAGTTCAGCAAGAAATAGGTTACAGCAAAGATTTTTGTGAATTGTTGTCCTGGTGCTTTGAATTTCACTGAAGAACCAGAAGGTAAAAATGCATAATGCCAGGCAAATCAGTGAAATAATTATTCCTAGTTGAGTGATCCTTGTAAGAATATTATAATCTGTAATACCCTAAGGGAAAATAATAATAAAGCTGTTAAGAGAATAACTCAGTAACTTGTCAAAGGAACTACAACATATAATGAACTTCTTTTTTTGGTAAAACATTAATCAAAATGTCCAAAAAATGTAGAAATACAAATGTGCACTCAGATGACTTTTGAAAATGCTCACTATTCAAAGAAATCTGATATAAATCATATGGCGCTTTAACAGTTCTGTAATTAGTAATTTTTTCTAAGCATAGCATGTATATTAGTATATGGTTTAACAATGTTATCATCATCAGTTTCATATTATAATGGCAATTCATTATTATAATGTGAAAATAGTTAATTAAAACAGATGTATCAGTGGTAACAACAAGTCATTTCTATTAGTGATTCATCTAAAACAAAGCACATTAACAAAAGTGTTAAAAATGCTTAATATATAGAATATCAAAATAGTTGAGAGACTTTGAAATGAGAAATGTTGGTTTTATTCTAGCTAGTTGAATATTTATTTTTTATATACAGAAGAGAGGCTTCTTTACTTAACATTCAGAAAAACAAAATCATCGTTATGATTAGCATTATAGCGAGGCAGATTTTTTTGGCCAGTTTATATATTTGATGATTCTAAGTATATGTGGAAATAAACCTATAATCTAATGAAGATTATCATACAGAGATATAAAATAAGATATTATATAATGTAAAAGCAAGATATCACTGATAAATACTGTAAAATACAACTTATGAAGCCATTCACCTTAGAGAGATTTTTCATATTTAAAAATCTGTGGGGTTCTACATTATTAAAACATGGTATTAGTTATAAATGTACTAATGCTTATTGATCAGATATCAAACATTTTAAACTAATTTATTATTGGTAAAAATACACTCATATGTGGGATGTAAAACTGAAAGCAACTAACAAGACAAATAAACAGAGACTCATGGATATGAACAACAGTTTCGTGGTTACCAGAGGGAAGTGGGGAGGGACAGGTAGATAAGGCTAAAGGGGGTCAAATATAAGGACAGAAAGACATTTAACTTTGGACAGTGAACACACAATGCAATACACACACACATAGTTAGCAAATTGTACACTTGAAATCTATACAATTTTTTTAACCAAATGTCACCCGAGAAATTTAATTAAAAAATTATCAAAGAATTAAAATAAATAAATAAATAAAAATAAACTTCCAATACAAAGGCAAAGGTGCTTAAAGTCCATGATACATTAAAATGTATAAATGTCCCTTAAAACTAGTATTAAAAACAAAGAACCAGTGGATAGGTACTTAACACAATCTACTAGACATAAGTGCAAGACTAAAAATAATCTAAAACTCAGATTAGATATGTCATAGAAGGCAAGTATAGAAAAAAAGACTAAAAAAGATAATCTTCGGGTTCTCTCAATTATTTAAAGATGCTATTATAACCAAAGAAAACATAACAATTAATTATTCTCTTGAATGACATAGAAGAATAAAAAGCACATGCAGATTTATAAATATGAAGTAGAAAATTGCCTTACAATGGAAGTACCAGAAGACATCAAAATTGCAAAATGTGTCAGGTGATTACAGCTGCATGAGGTGTGGGTTTCATTCGAGTATATCAGTTCACAGCCATCCAAAGACCAGTTGCCATTCATGGTATCAGGCAAGTAGTTCCAAAATGCACATTGACTCTTGTACTTATCTGGGGTCTGAAAAAGAGACATTTTATTGATGGATAAAGAGAAAAAGTTACACATATGGTATCCCTTTGTCATATTTAAAGTATCACTTTGCATATCAATATAATTAAAAAGGCCTAAAAAAGTGATGCATTAAATGAATGCTAACAAATGAATGCTGCTGTTTTAAGGAAGAATTGAAGTTTACATTGCAACAGTGCTGTATTTTATCAACCCTGTGTCACAAAGTTGTCATGAAAATTATTTATTAACAAATGAGATTATGTATGTGTCATGTATAACAGTGCATGATACATAATTATTATATGATCTTTATTCGATAAATGTTTATGGAGTATATTTTAGACATTAGTTGTTTATTCTGGTACTAAAAATACAACACTGAACAGAAAAAGTGTTTTCATTGTTAACCTTACATTCTTGTGAGGAGCTGAGAAATTATTAAATAAGAAAAATAAACCAGGGAAAAGAGAAAGTAAGTAGCATGGAGGTTGATCTGAGGAGGGCTTTCTCAGAAAATTGTGTCTAAGCAAATACATCGATAAAGTGACAGAGTGACCCCTGAAGACTTGGGAAGAGAAGGTTTCAGACAGTTGGAATGGAAAATGGAAAAGCTCTCTGAGGTGAGATAGAACAGGGATCTTCCAGAAATATATAGAAACCAGTGTAGTTAGAGCACAATAAATGAGATAAAGTGTAGTGAAGATAAGAACAGAGATAGGGGCTGATCACATAGACTACGAGATGGACGTTCAATAAATAGTAGAGTTCTTTTTATCATACGTTTATATTAACTAATCATAACACAATACCTAATCTCTATAAATTTTAATAATAGTTTAATCATAGAATGTTGAACACCCTATACTAATATTGTGTAGGAATAGAAACTTACAATTACATAACCGTTTACAGTCTACCTAGGTGCTTTCTCACCTACTTTGTTTAATTTGACCCTCAAAAGAGCCCTATGAGGAAGATATTAAGAAGACAAGAGATGTGAAAAGATATATTCAGATAATCATTTATTAAATAAAAATTCATTCAGTATTAAATATGCAATGAGCTTTGTGCGAAGAGCAAGGGATTCTCAGTTAAAAAGGTTAAGCATCTGCCCTTCAGGATGATAGAAACTCAGATGATTTTAATACAATCAGACAATTGATTTAATGGGATATATGCTAAATCCAACACTTGGGTCAACAGTTGGAGCACTGGTGAAGACAGACTGAATTAGATTGGAATGAGTCTGGGAAGATAGTGATTGAGCTAAAATTGGAGAGATGACATGAAGTTTTTCAAAGAGGTTAAGCTATGTGAAGAAACTGGAAACTCTATTCAGTTCCCCCAAAGAGCTAGGAAAATGCCCAATCTCACTCTTATAGGAAACCAGATAAGCCAAAGGAACCAGAGGGACTCCAGAATTGGGAAAGCAGAGTCAGCTTAGAGTACAAGTGTCATTCAAAAAACAGAGGGTTAAGTGAGAGCCTGTTTACATATTGAGCTTCCATTTCTGAATTGACAAAAGAAATGACTATTCAGTAGTGAAGTCTGGAATCTTACAATGCAAAGGATAGAAACCTGCCTGATGATAACTCTCTAGTGAAGCACACTGCTGCCAGAAGCCACCTAAACATGCAGTAATCTCTCATGTATCTCATTATTCGTTGTAAGTGGGTAGTCACAAATAACCAGAACTCTCAGGAAAAGTTGTAATACAAAAGACAGAGAACAAAGGCAAATGGGCCACACTCCACAAAAAGGAAATCAGGAGTGATACAATATAGGGAACAGAACACAGTTACTTATAAAAAAAAAAATAGAAATAATATCTCAGAAAGATACTGTACCCATTAAATGAAAGCAGGGCAAAAAAAAACAAGGTTTCTAGTAATAAGTATAAAATTGAAATAAATAGCAAAATTAAAAATGGAAAGCAAACAAACAAAATACCTTAGAGGCTTGGCTGGGAAGTCTAATACTCAAATAATAGGAATAACAAGAGAAGAGAACAGAGACTGGAGAAGAAGAAATTACCAAAGATATTATATTAGGAAATTTCCTAGAACTAAAGGCTGTACATTTTCAGATTAAACAGACTCATATAATGCCTAATACAATTAATGAAGAAAGGTGCACACCCAGGTTCATCTTAGATCAGAATTCTGAGAATAAAGATAAGATTTCAAAAGTATGAGAGAGAGAGAGAGAGCAAAAGACTGATCACATATAAAAGACTGCGAATTTTAAGTAAAATATTAATTGCGTTCAACTTCTCCAGGTTAATCTAAAATACTAAAAGACAACTGAGCAAGGTCTAGAAAATTCTGAAGAAAAACGTATCTGCAATTTATAACTCTATATCATAAAATTTATCAAACAGTATAAGGATAAGATACCTTAAAAACTTGACTTTCTATGCACCTTTTCTCAAGAGTCACTGAAGAATGTACTTTAATTACAGAAATAAACCAAGAAAGACGAAATATTAGCTCAAGGAAACATTCGATCTGACACAGGAGAGAGGTGAGTTGCATGTCCAGGATGATGGTGAAAGGCATGTCCAGGCTGATAGCTGTGTCATAGGCCAAAGAGTAAGCCATCCAGATAGGATCAAATTACAGAGACTTAGGAAGGATGTCTCCAGGACATCACATTAGTTGACAGATAATCTTACGTGTTTGACTATTTCGCGAGAAGATATATAGTACATCAGAACATTTGAGTATGAATCAGTAATGGATAAATAGAAATCTAAGCAAGCTAAATCAGAAGAATTTACTAACACCAGGAAAATGGTTCAGCCTAATGATTCGGTCGTGAATAACACATACTAAATTATAATAATATGCACATTTAAAACTGATTTAACTAAAACATTGATGTATGCATGGGAGGGTGGATAGTTGGAGGCATCTGTGTATCACAGGGGAAGATGTGTATAAAAAAACTATGTTCAAATTTTCCATAGATGGAAGTCAATAGATAATACCTATTTTTTAGAAGTTTAAAATAAGAGGCATTATTGAGTTTTGGGTGAAAGAGATAACGGGCCAATGGAGAGTGTGTTCCCTTTTTTGTAGGAAGCCAGAAACTTGAGCTTATTTGTTAGTGGAGACTCTGGCCACAATGTGGAGAGATCCAGGAAAGATGGGATAATAGATGAAGAATAATTTTTTTGAGAGACAGGTGGGGGAGGAATTCAAAGGATAGCATTGGGCAGGAGAATATAATAGCTGCTGAAAGCATGGATCTGGAGAAAGACTTCCTGGGAATGAAACCTTGTTCTACCAGTTGGTTGTTGAGTGATGCCGGGCAAGTTATTTAATCTCTCAGAGTCTCGGTTTCCCTATCTGTAAAATAGAAATAATAGTACATACCTCATAGGGCTCTTGTGAGAATTAAATAAGTTTTTTTTTTTTAAAGTAAATAATGTACAAGAAGGCCTAGCTCCCTGTAAGCATTGTTAAAGTATTGGTTGTTATCCTTATTACCAATATTATTATGACAACTACTATTAATATTCCTCTGAGGTAATAAGAAATGTATATATTAATTGATGAAGTTACAAATAAATTATCAGAGAATCAGAAAACTGAAGGTGTTGTGTACGAGATAGATTCTATTTTCTCAGAGGAAAATAAAATAGAATCCAAATTTTATTCTCAGAGAGAGGGAGCCATGGATTAGTGAGGTATGTTATCAGAGGAAAGTGATGAAATTTTATAATGGTAATTACTTTGAACTGCAAAAAGATTTGTACAGAAAGACAGATTAAGGACAATAAAGTTTTTACATTAATTATAGTGAAAAATTCTTGTTTAAATGTGTGTTTTGTCTTGTGGCTCTGTAAAACAGATTTGTGAAATGGGTTTTCCTTGGCCTCTCTTCATCCACCAAAACATTCACTAATAAAACATCTATAAAAACCATTAGATTGTGTAACAGAAAATGTTTGGTTTCTAATGTCAAAAGTGTCATTTGCATTTAGCATCTGAAAATATCTAAGTTTAGTTTCCATTCTTAAAACATTTCGCACTATTTTTCTCAACATAATGCTTACCAGTGTTTATATTTGAGCTACTATTTTCTTGCATTTTCCTACATTTAGTTTTTCTTTGCATTAGATGTCTTTATTTATAGTGACACATTTGGATTGCATATCTTATATGTTCTTTTAGCTCCTTTCCTCCCCCATAAACGTGTCAATGTAACTGGCCAGTTTCAAGGCTCTCCAAATGGAGCATTATAGGTATTTTATTCATGTACTAAGACTGAAATTCTACGAAAAGCGCAAGAAAACATAAACTGTAGAGAAGAAGCAGCAATGACTTTTCAGTTTCCTTATTCATTTTTAGGTATATAAAAATACTAAATACTTGGTTATTTCTAATCATGTTCTTTTATTGTATGGTTTCAATTATATACGAGTTTAAAAAAAGATTTAGAATAACAATAAGAGCAAAATGGTCTAAGCTAATCTATGAAATATTATAAACTTCTCTGTGATTTTGTTTTAACCAGCACCCAATCTGTACAAATATTATTTTAAATGACAATTACCAATCAAATATTGCCTTCATTACACAAGTGACATTTATCTCTTCGACAGTGATACATTTTTATAACTCATTCCCTAAAGGTACAGAGACTCCAAAATGAACAATGTATGTATTTAAAAATAAAACTAAAATATAGCTTACTTTCAGACTTAAATATGTGAAATTCTTTGCTATTTATTAAATAGTTTAAAGAGTACTGAAAGCATAAAAAATTTTATTGAAAAATTAGTTTTAACCACTTTGTTCTTTTAATTTTGAATCTGGATTATTAAACTCAAGAACTCACATATAATTAGTGACACAACAAAAAATGTCCACTTCTCTAATCATGATCATAACCAATAGTCACCAGAAAAACAACTTACCTTTATGTGACTTAAAGTAAATGTTATTTTTTCAAGTTCATACAATGTGGGTGGGTTCGAGCTAATTGAAACTGAAATTATTGATGAGATGACACTTTCTTCCTCTTCAGAATTATCATAACTTTGAGGTTCCATTATGAAGTTGTCAGATGATGAAAACAAGGGACCAATACTCTTATAATATAAAAATACAACTGCAACATTGCCTATCAATCAAATAAGTGCATTTGGTGAAACACATAAAACAATGAGGTATAAGCTCTTAAAGTAAACATAACAATTGAACTGACAATATTTTTACTCTGTCATACAAATAAATACCAAGATACTGAAATGTGAGTCATAGTAAGTCCATGCCTACATCATTAAACCACATTAAGACATATTCTCAAATCTCTGTGACTCTGAAACTGATCATGGACTGTAGCATCCTCTTTGCACAAACTTTAGTTAAGAGGAAAATAATCTTAGATAAATTTACATGCAAGTCTTGACTAAGAACCAAGGTGTAAAGTATATTCACATGAAAGATAAAATTTTGAGTTATTACTTTGGTGTGCAAATACATGAGTTAGAAAGATATTGGGAGAAAATTATCACAGACTTAGAGTATTAAGAAAGTTTGGAATTGAAGGAATTGTGAGATCGCACTGAGTTCAACCTCATGCACACTGAAATGTTTCTTATTGAATATTAATGACATATAGCTATGCAGTCTCAGGGTAGGAAATTTATTGTTTTTCAAGGCAGTCATTTATCTGCATTCCCTCATGCTCACCAAATGCATTACATCAGCACATAACCCAATACTAGAAATGTAACCTGATCAGTACAGACTATCATGAGACTGTTTCTCTTAGCCTGCATACTACACCTATATTAATGGATCTCAAACTAACTTGGTTTTTGTAGCAGTTCACTATCACTGATATTAAGTGTGTGAATGACAACATTTAGATCTATATTCTTTAAAAATTTCTATTGCCACTAAGATTATATTCCTCCTCTACTTATTGTACAGCCTTATAGACACTAAATTTAAGACTTTACATTTAGAATTTACTCTTAGAATCAGAAGTTCTACTTTCAGTCATTGCTCCTACTTATGTGGCCATGAATAAAGCAGCTGCTTTGAACTTTAGCTTTCTCACTTATAAGATGATAGCAATATTCACCCTAGCTATTTATTAGGATAGAGTGGACACCAAATTAAATAATACATGAGAGAGTCCTCTATAAATTTTAAGAAATATATGTTTGCATTAGATACTTGGACAACTGAGGAAGAATTCTATCATATTCATTTGTTCTCTCAAATTTGTAACGGGCATATAATTTATTCTTTGTGTTCTTTCTTTCTTTTGGTGACATTGGTTAATGAAATCCAGTAAGTTTCAGGTGTACAATTGAACAGTAAGGCAAATTTATTGCATTTTGTGTTGACCTTCCATAGTTAGATTTCTTTCTGTCACCACATATTTGACCCCTTTTACCCCATTTACCTCCTCCCTTCCTTCTGGTAACAACTAGTCTGTTGTCCATGACCATGAGTCTCTGTTTGTTTGTCCTGTTCATTTGTTGCTTTTATGTTTATATCCCACATATTTATATGTGGGCACATAATTTAAAAAGCATAAATTAATCAACATCATAAATACAAATGTTGATATCATCAAAAACAAAAGGCTGTGATACAAAGCTGGAACTCTGCACATCACAATATTATGCTAATAAATAATGTTTTTTGGATATGATTATGTGAGCTAGAATTTCCCAATGTATTGTTATTCGTATTTTTATCTTAAGCTAAAAAGGTACCACAGAAGACACTGATAAGAGCCTTTGTGAAATTCAGAGATACCACATAGAGTATTTTCCTGAATTTCTAGCCTAGAGAAGTTATATCAAAGAAATAATGTTAGTAAAACATGGATGTGTTAGTGAAATTATAATGACCCCAATAACTTGCCTAGCCTTTTCTATGAACAGACAAGGGCCTGAAGCAGGACCTGGAAACCTTTTACATCAACTGGACCTATTTCAGTTAATGAACAAGTTCATGCAACAGCGACTTCCCAGAAGCTGTAGCAGAGACAGTTCAAAATCAAATGAAACACGAAAAAGATAAGATGGATTTAAAAAATCTATAAATCACTCATAATTCCTAAGAGGAAATACTTATTTAGTATCCATTTTCGACTTAGTGAAAGGAGATTCACACCACATAGAATACATTTTTAACCTCTTTTCTGAATATAGTTTCAGTATTTGTCAATTCTCATCATTTTTAACCTCTTTTAATTCCCATGATTTCTCACTAATTCTAGGCCCAATTTAGCTTTTGATTCTCTTACAAGATCTGTACCTTCTTGAAGTAAATTAGGGATTAATTCACTAATGACAGAGACTAAAATTCAGTCTATAAAAAAAAAGATAAAAATCCACTTGTACTTCTCATTTTTCTACTAATGACACTACGAAGCTTTTAACTAATGCATGTTTTTATTAATGGACTTTGTCAATAAATGAATCATCACATGTAGATATCATTGAGTGAGTTTGAACAGCCTGCTAGACTTATCCTTATTTTTAAGATCCAACCTTGAGGAAAACAAATTTTCTCCCTCTGCTTTCTCGAGAACTGATATTACTGTCTCTTTCAAATGTCAGTTTGCATGCATGATCATTAAGCATAAAAGAACTACCATACACTCAGACAGGATCTCTTTGAGACATTAATTCCATGACAATTTCATCATTTGTCACTATGATAAGTATTTTCAATGTCTTTATTTTCAACCTCTAAACACTACTCAAATCTTTGAAAGTGTAACAGTTTAACACATTCTTTGGATTTGCTCCTAAATATTATACATGTTCTTGGTTAATTAGAATATGATGTAATAGGGTAAGAGCCATGGGTTCAATAGCAGTATGGCTTAGTTATTTTTGTTTTATGGCCATCTGTTTCTTACTTTTGAATAAAAACTAATGAGAAAAAATGGAGAGGATACTATCAATGGATTAAATAAAAATCTCACATTAATGCTGTAAATTTTTTTAAAAAGACATCTTTTGAGAATAAATGCACTTTTTAGAATAATAAAGATTACGTCTGTTTATGAAATGATGTCTATAAAAGAGATCATATGTGTCATCTTATATATTTTTCATTTGTACTTATGACCACCCATACATTCTTGAGAAAATATTATAATTCATGTTTTCTCTAGGTAATATATTTTAAACTACATGGGAAGAACAACCACAATTTCACTATTATCAGAGATTTTTTTTCTAAGTGCATTGCACTAAGAGAGCAGATAAATGGTTAAATTAAAATAAGAAGGAGCTAGCTTGCCTGTGGTTAGGTGACAAAGAAAAGCTGGTCAGGGCTGATTTCTTTGTCAACTACCTCCCTTCTAGTGTTGGCTCTGTACTACCTGTTGATGTGCAAAAAGACAAATCTGTTCACTTTTTTGTGCCTTAGTTCCATTATCTATAAAATGAGAAAAATAGGTTAGATAATCATTAAGTTACCTGCAAGTATTAGCGTTCTCTGATTCTATTTCTTATGAAATACTGCCTATAGTTTAGTTGAAGAGTTTACTGTACAAAGACTAAGAAACAGCAAGAGAAGTCCAAGCCTAAACAATAGCTTTCTTTTTGAACATTATCTCTATTTGTCTTCCTCACACAATCACAAATTCAGTCTCGCAGTGAGGAATATAGATTACTGAAGAAAAAGTACTGAAAACTCTATGCAAATTGTAGCATCTTTTGACTGCTACAAAACAGGTTGCAAAACCATAGTTCCTTTGTATATTTTCATTAAAATCTTAATAGTGTGAGGCAGTTACAGGGGTTTGAGGTAAGATAAGAAGGATGTAAATATTGTCAGCTAAAATCCTCCCCAGGTATTTATATCAGAATGAAAATCTCAAGTACAAATATGGAAATCTTGTATATAAACATCAAATATTTTTCTATACAAAAGCACATGTTATAGGTATATATGATACTATCAAATGCATGAAAAGTATTTATTGCAAGTCACTGACACTGTATATAAGATTTTCAAAGTCCTACCCTCTGAATCATCTGCAGCTTTTCTCTTTGGAAATATTTCTATATAATCTCCGTCCACATTCATATGGGGATGAATATGTTTCATGTGATGTGAATCAAAAAAGAAGGCTTTGAGAGCTGAAACAAAACCACGAATATTATAAATTTTCTGAAATTAGTTTAATGAATGTATTCATTTAGTTAGAGACAATTTCATCCATTATTATTGTATTTCAACTTCTTATGGCAGGTAGAAAGAGCATATTCTGAACATATTTGGACATTATAATTTATATCTTAAAATATGATTCAAGTTTAATTTTTTGATTTTACTATAACACTTGTGCTTTATACGCATTGTTATTAAATCAAAGACAAAATATGTATGCATGCAAGGGAGCAATATATCTTAATTACCAAAGCAAAGAGTAGGAACTACAATGTCGTAGAGGATGGTATCTACAATATAATTTACTATTTAGAGAGAGATTGGATTAACTTCTTGAGGATAAGTTCCTTACCTGGTGTTTTTTCACCTTTTTTTTATGCAGGAACATTATAGAAATGTATGCTTCTATATATATCACAATGCTTGCTATCTTAATTTTGAGTAAGTGGTGAATCCTGATGAGATAATGATTTTTGTATATGTACTGTTGCCTAGCAGGATGTCACCCAAAAAATATAGTAGGGATGTATGCAATGATTATTTCAGAAAATGTACCTTGTTTCTACAGAACAACTTTATTGGCATCTTCAATTTGATCTAAGATTCCTAATGTTTTAAATATGAGATTGCATGAAGGAAACATTCTTATTTACTATATTGATTGCTTTATATTATCAAAAGGCAAAGGATTCCTAAAGAGAAATTTAAATATACTACATCCAGAAAATCTGCCTGTCACTATTATTGGTCAAGGTAGATCCTAACAGTCATAAGATGACTAACTCAGAATGGCAAGGAAGTAATATACTCTAAGCATTTAAATGCTAAACAGTTCAGGAACAGGAAAAGGTGAAGATTGTATGGATGAGGCACTGCTTATGTATTCATCCTTTTTCTCGTCCTTATGCATATCGCTCTTGTAATATGCATTACCATTCATTTCTACATTGACAAAACAACTGCCAAATTTATTAATGGTATTTTAAATACTCTCCACCCATTTTGAGACTGGCTTGTTTGGAAAATACTGTTGCTTTGAAATTGACCTTGGCTTCTTACCTACATCACTTGAATTAGTATCAAAGTGAGTGGTCTTTTCAAAGTTCTGAGATATCCTTAAGGTAGCTTGTTCGGCAGCATGTATCAGTTTTGTAAGATGAGTTCTTCTACGATTTGTAGGTAACTTGTTCCAAACTATAAATGTATCCTTTCGAACAAAATTATTCACAGTTTTTACAAATTCCTGTTAAAAAAAAGTGTATCTTTTGAAATCATTGGAATCTTACATTAATCACAGATATAAGAAAAATTGTAAAGCTCAATGATATTAAGAATTAAAGTTCAACATACTTACAGTAAGAGTTGAATTAGAAAGGGTGTCCTTGTCTGAGTTAGTGCTGTTTATATAACGCAGTAATGGTGATGATTCTGCTAATATCTCTATATATGTAATTATATCCATCGGTGAAAGATCTTTTGCAGAATTTCTATAGACTTCTTCTAGCAAAGCCACAGGTTGATTTATGCGTCTAATCTGAACCAAACATGAGACCAGAAAAAGGAAACCAGTTTAGAGTACTATTGGATCTTTTCAAAAATAAAGTTTGTATGTTAAATTTATTATGAGTTTGATTTCCTTGTCCTATACTCTAATAAGGTATCAGGCTAAACCCAACCATAACATGCAGCACTGAAACTTGAAATTATTTATAAAAAAATAGCAAATAACTTAAAAAAAAATAGAAATTACTTCCAAAAAGAAACAGTATGCTTGAATTGATAATTTAAAAAATTACCTTTTAAAAGTTATAATATTTATAACTTAATGTGAATTAGGTTTTAATCAATCACAGAAAATTCTTCACAATGTGATAAAATGGAAATTTGTTTTAGTTGATTGTTTAATTAGTCATTTTGAGATTCACACTTTCAATTATATGACAATAATTTTATGGATGCCCTACTTTTTATTTACTCTTTGAAATATTTAGAGTAAAAAAAATCTATTTTTATTCAACTATGGCACCTTAGAGTGTGGCAATGGGCCTGGGGTCAAAGTGTGTTTTTCTATTTTATTTATCAACTTCCTTTACATATTGAAAATAATTTTCTAGTATATTGAATAATAAAACAGTAGCATGTAAATATGTAATAGTCTTCCTCAATACTTTGGGGATTTTCAAATTAATTCTATCTGCATCTCAAATAAAATACTTAAACCTCTATATGTAAATAGTTTTAACTCTACAAGAAGACTAACTGCTTGTTACTCTTTTTAAAATAAGACATTGGAAGACATTTAACTGAAAACAAAATGTCAAAATAAAATAAAATTTGTATTCAATTAGTCTACTTACTTTTGTTAAAGTTTTATCAATATTTGCAGTAATACAGGCATTATCTAAATGACAGTCAGCATTCACATTTTCTATAGAAAAAGAAAATATATTATATAGTAATTTTTTAAAAGTTCTTTTCCTAAATGATTATATCGAGTCTAATGATTTGTCTTATTTAAACATTAAAACACATTTTTAAAAAGTGAGTTTCATTTTCACCTTTTATTCATTAAAATTCATCTTTTATTTTTCATTATTCATTATTTTAAAAATTTTATTCATAATAAAATATATTCATTTTTATTCATTAAAATACACAATATCTTATGGAAAATGGAAGATTATAGTTAGTCAAAGGAATATGGGTATGTTAACTACGTAAAATATGTGGTCTATATCTTTCATTTAAAAAAACAACACTTTCTTATTTTTTTTTTTTTGACAATAAAGGAACATTGGCACATTTCTTGAAAGGTGTAGTTCTTTGATGATTCACAACTGCGTAGTATATATTTTATATACTTCTTTGACAATACATAAAGTTTGGTAATGTGATTTACCTTGGCAGTAAGTGCCATCGTTAGGTGTGAACTGTGCTTCTCCTGTGGATGTCTGATAACCTTCTTTGCAGGAGCAGCTATACCCACCATCCATGTTTTCACATACTGCATGATCACCACAGGCAATTAATTCGTCGCACTCATCTATATCTGGAGTATTTGAAAAATTAACTTTTTATTTAGTACTCATATAGTTGCTACATCATTGATAATATTATAACATACAGTTAGTGATTTCATATCAAATTTTATAATAACTCAAGGAAAATCCCATCATTTGAAAAAAATGGCAGAGTTAACTTAATTGCATATATTTGTTTAACCATAATTTGGCCAATTCATTTTGACAGCATATTGAAAATATTATTCATAGGCCAAACTCTTGGATTGTTTTTTGAATAGTATGACTCAATAACAAAGTCATTAAATAATTTTTATTATTGACTGTAACAGTTGGTCTTAACTTAATAAAAACTCAATTTTTACAATACATTTAAAACACTTCGTTTTATAGCATTAAACTATATTGATTATAACAATTCAGTTTACATAAATCTGGAAGGATAAAAAGGAGTAGCCCACTTTCTTTCCAAAGCTTTATTTCCGCATGTAAGTTAACCTAAAAATTAAGATGTAGCAGAATGTGTGACATGACTCCCTTAAAATTTTACCACAATTTATTACTTTTGATCAGGTTATATTTTATTATGATTTTTAAAACACACTCATCATAGATAAAGTAACAAACTGAAAGGAATTAAGTCTTAGATTTTTGGTAGCCATATTTCAAAGCCACAATAAAATTATATGTTTTAAGCTCACATAATTGATATTTTTAATTTAAAATTTTACATACTACATGAAATATGTCTTAGAGTAATCAAGTATATATACTGTGCCAGTAGGCAGAGTTCCAACATGGAATGATTCCAAGGAACTGAAGAATCCAGATAGTTACCTTAAACTAATGTAAAGATTTTTGTGTTCCCAGTCTAGCTCTGACATCTTAGAGCTACTCTATGTTAAATTAATGAATAAAACGGTACTCTTAAGTATACAATTTGATTTTCAAAAAACTAATAGAGTGCCATTATATCATTTGCCATAAAAAAGGGGGAGTAATCAAAGTCTAATATAAAACGTCATCTAGTTAGTTATCTTAAATATAGCTGATCCTAATTTTTCACTTTAGAAATGTAATAAAGGTACAGGAAAACATTAAAACTCACACCACCAAAAACTGAAAGTGACAATAAACATCTTGCTAGATTCTTGAAGAAATTTCTATTAGCTAATAAAAATGATGGTACTAGATTTAAGAAGACAATTAAAAGACATGAAAAAAAGGTAGAAAAATCTTTTTCTTCTGCCAAATCTATGTATTTATGATCTCTACTATACAGAAATCCTAATATACTACTTTAAAAAAATAAAAATGCTGCTCTACATACAGATTTTGGTTCTAAAACTCTGTTTCCATCTTCTTTCTTGAACTTTTTCTTCCATATATATATATATATTCAGATACTCAAAAAACGGCGAAAAGTAAAATAGATGAGTAATAACAGGTTAATTCTTAGAATATGGAGAAGCACTGGGGAAAGCATTCCAGGTTGGGCTGAAGAAAAGAACTCAGGTGGGAGTGCAGACTAAGGTTATTATTTTTCATGAAATCAGAAGTGAGAAAAAAATATGAGAAAGCAAAAGACTTGTAGTTTTTGGAGCAGTGCTGAAGGAGTAGCATATACTATAATCAAACAATGAAAACACTCCAATGAAGGTGTGAACAGACCCATGAAGTATCATAAGCAGAAAAATTTCTTTCATGGATAGGAAAGCCATGTTTTTGAATATACCCATTTCATATTTTTAGATGCTTTCTAGGGCTTAACAGGAAACAAAGTATTGATTCCTTCAATTTGAAAATTATTTAAAGGAGCGACATTTCTTGAGAACTTTGTTCCATACCCAATCTCAGAGCAACATACAAATCTTGGTTCTACAAACTCTGTTTCCATCTTCCCTCTTGTACTTTGGACACAAGTGGACACAACATTGATGCTTATAACAGTGTTTCAGCTTTTCCTTGTGCATTCTCCCCACCCTGTGGTTCTTACATTGAGGTCTCTGCTCTTGTGCAAGCCCTTCCACCACCACTCACTCAGCTAGCTGATACCCCAGAATGTCAGTGTAGGACCAAGAAACATATTTCAACTTCTGAATTCACCAACTGACAAAATGGTAATCTGTAAAAATAATGAGGTAGTATCCTGGAAGACTAGCATCCAAGATTAAGATTATACATATTTTTATATTCTGACTCCAAATGTTATATAATAAATATTAAATATCCTACCAAAGTAATACTTTTCAAACCTTAATCATCCCATCAAAGCAATGTTTCCCAAATTGTTTATTTTTCTTATTTATATTTTTTATCCCCTCAACATTTTTCTAAAATGTGGAAATGAGGTTTGCTGAATTTGATGTCTTTCTCATTCTTAGGCCTTAGTAGTAGAATTTACTGAATTAAACTTAGTAATGGAGTGTGTGACTACCACAACTGGCTGTGTGCCAAAGTAGTCAAAACACTTCCACTATCCTCAGCTTATCATTCTACGTCCCTTTGCTACCTAGTAATATAGAGAGAATCATAACATATTGAACCGATATTCCATGCCCAAACAGAATGAAACTGGCTTAGCCAAAATGAAATGTGACTGCCATTTTTCAGCAAGATCCACACTAAATTCTCTCTTGCAATCTCTTGCAGGACCTAATTGTCTTGAATCTAATAAAACCACTATGGATCTTCCCTGACTCTATAATACTCATTAGTTTTGTCACTTTGGGTAATACTATAAAAGGTTCCTTTAACTCCAAAAGGTCTTTTTCATAACAAATGAGGAAATGTATGTAAGGTGTTTGGATATAGTAGGTACCTCATATTGTAATTATAAGTCAGGTACAGTGATTCTATTCATATTATGTGTTTTCTTAATAACAAGAGCCTCATGAATGTATAAGTTTAGAGAAAACAGATTGATAATGAGTACCTCATTAGATTGCCATGTTTTGGTACTTACCAGCGCTGTAAAAGAGAAAAAGAACACTTTCCCCTATCTTAATGAAAACTAAATTGCTCTATGTAATTATTTCTGTTGGGCTAGAATTGACATTCCATATTTAATGATTGATCCACTTTTTTCCACTACCAACCTAACACTCAGCTTAATGCTGCTAACTTGATTTCTCTAAATGTAGGCACCTTATAAAATCATTTGCTTGTTTTCACATCAAAAAAAATCATTTGCTACTTTTTCATTAATAAGGTTATGCTTTTTTTCATGTCTACAATGTGCCAACCCAGCGGAATATTATCATAATTTTCTTTCAAAATATGGTTGTATGAGTGTTTTGATTCTTATAATTTTCATCAATAGCTGAATTTTCTAAAGTTGTTTAACTCACAGACTGCAAAGAAAAGATAAAATGTCCAATTACTGGAAGTAATTTGCAAAGACAAAATTGAATGTTAATATTATTCAAAGCCAAGAAAACAATCTGAAACTATAAGAATAACCAAGACAATAGGACATAAAAAAATCACAAGCAGTAAACACAGCTCTTAAGCGCACAGTAAACACGATGGAGTTCCTGGGCTCTACTCATTTGACTTTGAAGAGTCATTTCACTAATGGATGCCACAGTGTTCCGATTTGTGAAATGCAAGTCTGAAACTAGGTTTCTCAGAAGCTAGAAATATGAAGTTCTGTTTTACTATGATTCCAAGGGAAAGAATAACATGCATGCTAAATCTCACTCAAAGCCTTCTGCAACAAAATTACCTTATCTGTGAAACATAGTATTTGAAAAAAATTTTGCTTGGGTCATTTCTTTCCCTGAGTTGGAGCTTTTTATTTTCTATTTATACAGGTTCTTAATGACTACAATTATCAGACATGTCAAATTTAAATATCAGTTAAATTTTCAAATCAGAGGCAATACACTACAAGATAATACACTAATGTAAAAAGGGAATAGAATTACAGTTTTCTGTTCAAACTCCCTGAGGATTATCATAGTGCACAAGAAAAATTACTAGAAGATTGGAAAAAAATGAAATAGCTGCTCTGCTTCTCAAAAAAGCTTAATCCTTAAGGACAACAAAATTGGTGAGAAATAACAATTTTCCAAAGAATAAGTTTTTCACTGAATAATCCATCAAATAAAAATGGTAGAAAATGAAGGACTCAGTACTGGGTATTGGGTTTTAATATAGTTATTGTGTTTACTGATTACTTAAAATAGCTAAAAAGAGAATTAGTAAAAAAAAAAAAAAAAAAAAAAGGGCCATTCCACAGCATCTCAATAATAAATGAGTATTGGGAGAAAAAGTTTTAAATTACAAATATATCACAGTCTCATAAAATGTTGGCATTAAATCGTCTTTATCTGTGTGTGTTTTCTCTGTGTCTGTGATCCAGTTTTTTCTAATATAGGCATTCTCTACTTGAAAGGAACACAAATAGAGAAATATAGCCCTTTGTGAAACTGAGGCATATTAAAAGTAAACATGATCAGATGAAAAGGCAAGATGTCTTCTAGAGACAAGAGGGAATGGAGAGCACGATTAAAATTCCAGTGATTAAGATGTCACAAGTTAGATTTCTTCACTAACTGAAACGTTTCTAATAAAGCTTACAGAACTACATAATTAGAACTACTAAAAGTAAAATATGAACATTAAATCACATTCTAAGAAGACTTGAAATAAGAGTGTAAGCTCCAAAACAACAAGTTTTGAGGTACTGTAAGTTTTCTGGGCAGAAAACTATCTTATTTCCTGAATATATTATAAACGTTTTTGCTGCAAATATTAAAGAGAAAATTTTCATTCCACAAAAGTAGTATTTTTTCATATTATACATCTTTTATGCCCTTGCAAACCTTGAGCCACTGCATTTGCATGACTCAGATCAATGTGTGAGATTTCAATGTCCCACCCACTTCAGTCTCCTGTGGAAATAACGATGGCTTTCTAGACATAAGACTGGGATTCTAATCTTCTTCTTATCCTAAATGAATTAGGAGTAGCCTTGCACTTCCCCTTGCTATAAAATGAGGAGAATAATATCTTCACTGTTTACATAGCAGAGTAAATGTTATGAACTATAGATGCATGAGACATGATAATTTCTTTGATACAGAGATTTCACTGATAAATTTTCTTTGAACATTAATTCCTAGCTCAACATGTTATTAATAATAACATTGCCAGACTTCTCCTTAGCTTACTGATGAGAATCCCATTAGAGAACTAAGCAAAGGCCTTAGTGTGATCTATATGAACTTGGGTCTGTCTCTTTTATCTATGTAAAGTAGAAGCAGCACATTACTCCTGTCTGTGTTGCATAGAGTATCCCGAGTCCAGTCCCCTATCTATCCTTGGCTATGTGATTGAAATCATCTTGTAGATTATTATCAATCACAATTAATTATATTAGTTGTTGGTAAACTGTACAATTTTTTAGAAACCTGGAATAAGTTGATTTATAACTTACTTTCAAAGTTAAAGTCTTTGACTTCAGAGAATTTGCCTCTGAAAATTGTTCATCTTTTGAAGTTTCTAAACCATCTTTTTTTTTTTTTTTTTTTACCTCAGGTTGTAATCCAAATTATATCAGATCTGATAAATCAAATGCATTTATAACAGAAGGACATTTAAAAACATCTTATAGATATTCTCTTCAGGCTCAGTATAATATTTTACTAAGGAATTGAATTTAAATTATTATTTCACAAGAGGGCATTTTAGTGAAAGTGAAATGATTTTCTAAATAGATCTCTACTGTTCAGAAAAACTTTATGCAGATCTTAAGTGTGACTAACTTTCAGCAAGAAGTAGTAAAGCCCTAGGACAATTCTTTCATAAATAATGCCTACCTGAACATATTCTAAGAAAATGTAGAGTTCACCTCAGTGTGTATATTTATAAAAGCATCAATATTTATGATGCAAATCATAATTTTCTTGAGTTAGTATTTTAAAGTGTAAATATTTATTCTGTTGTTTGCCACTATGCTAGATCTTATAGCTTCATGAATTTTATTTTGTAAACCCTTTGATTTTTCTAAAAAAAAAAATCTTTTTCTTATATCCTTAGATAAATATTCCATAGGAACTGATTATACAATATTGGAGAAATAAAAGAATTAATGAAGTCTCTGAAAGTATTTAACAACTAGAGTACAATTAAAGACTGGCAGCATTTGAATTTTTATTTACTCTCTGGGAGTAATGAGCAATAAGAGATAGGTACAAATTTTAAATGAGATAGCTGACTTACCTATGCAGACAGTTCCATCATTAGTGATAAACCTGTCTTGGTTACTGCTGGATCTAAAACCAGGTGCACACATACAATAGTAACTTCCCTCTGTGTTAGTGCAGTTAGCATTTTCACCACAAGACTGGGTTAAATTCCCACATTCATTATCATCTGTGGAAATATAAATTTAAAACATTATTTTTATATAATTAAGATAAATTACTAATATTTTCCATTGGTGTTTGGAATTTTGACAGTTAAATAATTTGAAGTAATACAAAGTTGATTTTTAAGGGAAGTTGATTCTAAAGAATCTACATTCTATACTTGTTTTATTTTTGTTTATAATGGGTAACTCTCTTTGTAGTTCCAAAGCAAAAAAGAATCCGTTACTTCAAAAACACAATATAGCTATTAAATGTATACTGGGATATTTTTCATATTTTATATGTAATTTAATTATAATAATTTCAATAAATATATACTCATTTGTGAATTTATAATACTCTTTATAATCAGTCAAAAGCATACCATAAGTTAAAAATGAAAAATCAGAGATTACAAATTAACATGTTCTAATCACATATCATTTATTTTTATCACTTATTCCCAAGAAGAATTTTGCATTAATAGGTCTGCATCTCCATTTATTCATTAATGCATTTATTCATTACTATATACATTATATTGTCCTATACAAGAGTATATAAATATAAAAGATAAAAGATATGCATCATGGCCCATGGTCCTTACCCTTATATACTCTTCTAGTACAATTTATCAGAAAAAATATAGATTCATAAACCTTTTGTTAAAATCAGAAAATAGATTCATATTATTTATCAGATAAATGAAATAGAAAATATATTTCTCAGAAGGGATCATAATGGGCTGAAGGAGACAGAATATTTTCAGGTGACATAAAATCCTCTTGTGGTTTGAATTGCATCTCTCAAGAAGATATGTTCAAATACTAACCCTGTGTCTGTGATTGTAACTTCATTTGGAAATAGGACCTTTGCATATGTAATCAAGTAAAGACCAGGTCATTCTGGATTAGGTAGGCCCTAATCCAAAGACTGGTGTCTTTATGTGGAAAATTTGGACATGGGGACCCAGGGGAGGGGCACAGAGGAAAAGGCTATGTGAAGACAAGAGACAGAGACTGAAGTGATAAATCGGTAAGGCAAGGATTGTCAAAGGTAGCTGACAACTACTAGAAATATGTGAGAGAAGAAAAGATTCTTTCCTAGACTTTTTGGAGGGAGGATGGCTCTTCTAATACCTTGATTTCAAACTTCTAGCCTCCAGAATTGTGAGAGAACAAATTTGTGTTGTTTTGAGCCAACAAGTTTGTGGTAGTTTGTTAGGGCAGGCCTAGAAAACTAATAGACCCAGACTGGCCAATCTAAGATAGTTAAGTATTGGTTAGATAGAAAGAAGGAAGGTCATTAAAAAAAGACAAAATATTGGGTAAACGTGCAAGCATTGGGGGTGACTATTTCTGAAGACAGGGTGAAAGCCTATTGAGGAACACAGAGAGAGTACATGAAAAAGCAAGTCGAATTTGAAAAATGTCTTAAATTTGTATTCTTCATTTTAATCAAACCATGTTTAATTTCTTTTTAAAGGATGAAATGTGTAACATTTAATTCACACACAGACTATTGCACACATATAGTGATAAGTAAGATTTGAAGATTTTTTCAAACATTTTATAAATATTAATTCACTTAATCTTTGCATAAGCTCTAGGAAGTAGATACCATTATTATCCTCTTGAATGGATGAGGGAAATAAGGCATAGAGAGGAAACGTAATTTGCCAACATCACATAGCCATTTAGTTGCAGAGCCAGGTAGTTTGGTTCCAAAGCCTGTCTCCTTAACTGTTTTATACTGCTGCTTCTGTGAGGATGATTTTAAAAAGCCAAAATATATAGAAATGTATTTAATGAATCATAGATCCATTTTAGGAGAATAAAAGATATTGAGATAGTAATTTAAGAAAGAAACCGAAAGCTTTATTCGCAGTCTATTTTTAATTTAAATTTTATTTTCACTTATTCATTTTCAAACATTAAGAATATAAATATAGAAGTTAACATTTGACAGACAACTAGTGGTGAATTCCTCTTTTTTCAAAAATGACTACTATGGAAAGGTCAGGTAAGATTTGTCAATTCCAGCCTTTCAGGGTATTCAACCTATATAGTTATATTCCATAATTTTATTTTAATATTTATATGCTTTAACACTTTGACTTATCATCTTAATTATTATAGGTCAACTTTTATAAATATGTCCAAACATGTAATGGCTCAGCACGATAAAAGATTTTTAGTGTTTTAGTCAGAAACCAAGATTAGTATTCAGGTCATAGGTGTGGCTTCTTCCACAATGGTTCAGGGACGCAGACTAGTTTCATTTAATGGCTACACAATCCCATAGGGCTGCTACATTGTCTGAATTCATCCAGGTGAGGAGTTGGGGTTGAATAGAGCATATATCCATGAATACAAAAATTACCATATATAAGAAAATGTATTTGATTAATAGCAAACCTACATAAATTGATTTGAACAAAAAGGGAAAATAACATTATACTTTTGAAGTTATTGTTGTAATTTCCTTAATCATCAAATGTCATTTGAATAAGGCATATCCATTGAATTAATAATTTTTACTCATCCCAGGCCAACCATGCATTTTTAATTTGTTTTGATATTTTGATATTATGCCTCTGACGGGTGAAAAAAGAAGAGCCGCGGCACTGCCTCTGCCTTTTAGAACCTGAGCGCCTTGATGGGTAGATGAGGATGTAAGCAAAGAAGAGAAGTGTGAGTGTGGGTGTGGCAAAAGCAGACTGCAAGGGTAAATATTAAACTCACTCATTTTACTTCAGTCAGGAAAGAGGTCAGAAAAATTTCACTGGGTCTTGAAAGTTTTCCTGCATTTTTATATTATTACATTTTGACATTATTACATTATTACATTTTTATATTATTTGGTTTAGATATAGTTTTACCTACTATGAAACAATTAAAAGATGTCATGAACAAAGAAGGAAATAATGTAATTGATGTCTTTTCAGCTCCCAACTGACTGTAGGATAGACTGCAAGCTTGTAGCATTCAGAGAACCCCATTTCAGACATGACTGATATTGTTGTCTGATTGACGTGATTACTAGAATTCACTGAAGGCTCCTGATGAACCAGGTACCATGCTAAGCACTTCATATACATGATCTGACTTGCATTTTTAATCCTCATTTAAACCCTATGAGAAAGACATTATCCTCATTTTAGAAATAAGGAAACTGAAGTATAAAAAGTTGGATTACCTTGCTTCGAGGCATACAGCTAATAAGTGGCAAAGTTTGATCCAAGCCTAAAGCATTGCGAATGTCAAAGTTATCTCATTTTTTCTAAATACTACATAATTAAAAAGGTTCACAGTAGTAATCACTATCATTTGTTGTTTATTATGTGCTAGTCATTGTGATCAGAAGATTACTGTAAGATGGAAACTTTCTCAAAAGATTGTCAATAGGATTAAAGGAGCTCATATACAGACAATGCTTAAATTGGTACCTAGCATGTAGCAAGTGCTATATACAGGTATGCTATTCTTATTATTTTTAAAATATTATTATTATTATATAAGTAACTAGAAATCAGCTCTTGTTACACCCTACTTAAAATCCTTAATAGTTAGCTGATTTGTAGCTGTAATGTTAGGCCCTTCATAAGTTTATGAGACTTATCCCTTCTCTATGTAGAAGTGAGCTTCCAAAGTCTGGGAACCAGTTTAAGTCACACACACACACACACACACACACACACACACACACACACACACCCCTTTATAATAAAGGTTATTGTAAAGAATCTATAATATAAGATCTCCAAATGCCTAGGTATTGCATTAGTTTTTATACTAAATACAAGGAAAGGTAAAATTAGTTTCCCCATAATTCAGCTTTAAAAATGCTAACAATTTGATGATGATCATTGTAATTCTTTGAAAGAATGCTTAAAAGAAAGAAAATAAAAATCACTTGTAATGGTATTCTATTCATCTTTTGAGGCACTTCCATTTTAAGGTTAATTCAGACAATGCAGAATATCCACTTCTGTACCTGGCTTAAATATTGGCATTATAATAACATTTTTTCATAAGGATTATTCCATGTTATTAAAACTTATCCAAAACATCAATAAAATGTTGTTATTTCATTTTATGATGTAGAACAAAATTCTGTTTATTTCACAAAAGATCTCTGGAAACAGAATTTTAGATATATGAGACTGGCCTTGATTCTTTATTATTCCGTAATTTAAAGCTGAAGAAATGTAGGATCTTCAATGCAATGAGGATGTTTTTCAACTCAGATCTGTCTCATGGGTGGACTGGTAAGACCCTATGTTAGACCCTTTTCATAAGCCTGAGGCAGGCCTACCCCTAAAACAAAGGAACCAAGCATCACCTAGAGTGTCTTTTGCTCTGAGCACACCTAAATCTCTACTTTAGGCACAGTGCCATTTCAGTTGCTTGGAAAAAACAGTTCAAGAGCAAAACCAGTCAGCCATGAGATGCAAGAACCTTTTCTCCAATGCCTAGAACATAGGTAGGCCAGGTCGCATACCTAAGATTTTTTTTTTTTTTTCATGTTATGGCATCAGGCCTCTTTTTCCCTTATCATAGGCACCTCTCTGACATTTTGAGTTCTAATCCCTTGACCCTTTGAAAGTGTTGCTCTCCAGCATGTGGCCTGATTTGAGTGAATAGGACAGAGCTTCAAGAGAAGAGTTTTGAGCTTCCTCTAGAGGAGAGGCCAACAACTTGGAGATGTAAGAATAAAGGTTGGGCTCTCAAAAACTTGTATAGGCCAGGCAGCTATTAGTTTTTGATTCTGCCAGGAGTCAGACAATTGTTAGTTGGTACGGCTTCTAATACTGAGAAGTTCACATCTCATCTAAAGGATTTAAAATTTTTAAAATTTAACAGCATGTTTAAAACATTTTATTCAGATTTAGCATTTGGCCAGACATTTGTCACTCCTAAGATAAAACATATGAAGATTGGAGGAATTGGAGAAAATTGCTGAAAATATCATAATAAAGTAAGATAAATTTTGAATGGCCTTATATAAAATGTTGAAATGTTA